ATGTTTGACCACTCTCTCGGTGAAGAAATTTTTCCTAATATCCAGTCTAAACCTCCCCTGGTGCACTTGAGGCCATTTCCTCTTGTCCTATCACTAGTTACTTGGGAGAAGAGACCAGCACCCTCATCGCCACAACCCCTTTTCAGGTAGTAGTAGAGAGCGATAAGGTCTCCTCTCAGCCTCCTCTTCTCCAGACTGAACAACCCCAGTTCCCTCAGCCGCTCCTCATAAGACTTGTGCTCCAGACCCCTCACCAGCTTCGTTGCCCTTCTCTGGACACGCTCCAGCACCTCAATGTCCTTCTTGTAGTGAGGGGCCCAAAACTGAACACAGGATTCGAGCTGTGGCCTCACCAGTGCCGAGTACAGGGGCACGATCACTTCCCTACTCCTGCTGGCCACACTATTGCTGGTACAGGCCAGGATGCTGTTGGCCTTCTTGGCCACCTGGGCACACTGCCGGCTCATGTTCAGATGGCTGTCAACCAGCACCTTATCTTATTATCTTGAAGACAAATCAACCCCAGACACAGGAATGTAAAATGCATGGAGTAATAAACAGACAATTTAAAAATTTCCTTTATTTTTATTTTCAAGTTCAAGGTCAATCTTCAATAATTTGCAGATAAAATGAGAGTACAAAAATGCTCTTGTTAGTCTAGTTTGAATTTAGATAAATTATTCATTATTTCCAAATAAAACTAAGCCTGCTTTTTCAAACACCATTTCTGTGCACAAATTATATAGCTCATTCTTTTCATAAGGCATGTAAAACAGATTTCAGTTCAAGCATTAAAACATTTTACACTTGGGTGCCAGAATTAAAAACACAAGTAAAATGTTTGCAAAAAACCATGCCTGAACTAAAGACATTACAATGTACACAAGCAGAGGCATTCACATATGAATGTATATGTATATGAACATACTAGGAAGATCAAAAATATCTATTTTCTGTTTTGTATGCGATCTCAGTCATTTAGCTAACAAGAATGCATGTTTAACCCAGTACTCATATATTGCCTATACAATAATTGTACTTTCCTATTTTTTCAGTACAAGATCATTTCTGTCACATCGTAAAATTGCGTGTCTTACAGTCAATGTCCTATGGTAATGGTGAAATGATGAAATACATTAAGGAAGCATAAGGGACAAGATGAAGGAGTACTGAAAGATAAAATTGCACTGAGTCTTTGAGAAGATGAATTTGCCTAATAACATCTGTTGGTAACTGTAAATTCTCTCTCTTCTTTATCCAATGTCCATTTTCTTTTGAGTGATTCCGTTTCTCACATAGTGGAAGAAAATGTATTTTACATGTATATACACATCAGAGGAAAACCCTACCTATACATTCTATTGGAATTATGTAAATATGACAAGGTTTCTGTTGAAAACCTGAACTCAGGTAAATCATAAAAGCTCACCAGAAGTTGGCAAATCATTCCAGCAGAAAGCGTGTTGTTTCAGTGTAGCTGTAGAAATCCTCGTGTGCAGCCAAGCAACATTGAACAAATTATTTGGCATAATATCTTCTGGGGGAAAATTACATTTCAAAAGTCCTGTCATATAAGAAGACAGAGATGTCTGCAGGTCCTTTATCCGAAAGTCTATGTCTTCTAATGTGGTTACTTTAATTCCTGTATTGGAGCTGTTTATATTTGAAAGATTCTACTCAAAGAACAGACCCTGTAAATAAGACTCTCCACTCCTAGGAAGGTCACCTGGAGTGAATATGTCCAGACCATTGTTTGAGCTTGCTTCTTCCACTAAAACCATCACAAGAATCTATTGTTAGGACTTTAAATTGTCTTAAGCAGTATAGACTAGATTCTGTCACCCTTAATTATACAGAGTGGTGTATTATTTTATAAACAAATTGGTTGTTTCTACTGGTGGTTGTCTCTAGTAGGAGTAAAGAAAACATAAATATAACCCTATCTATGTAGAGAGACAGGGTCCACATCTCCACAACACATTCTTAGTTTTAGTAAGGTTATCGGAAGCTTACTCATCAAGAACTAAGAAGCCACCTAAGACATAATGTAATTCTTTTCAGTTACCACCTAATGAATAAGAACAGTAGTGTGTTACAGGAGAAGAGTTTATAAAGTTACTTGTAACTAGACACCGTTTGTACCATAGAAGTTGGATCCAGTCTTTGAATGCCCTAAAGTTAAGTTTCAGGTTCTAAACAGGTTTATGGGATCTTGAAGTAGGTCAGGAAAGTTGTCATGAACAGACAGAGGGGCCATCCAAGGCAGTCAGCCTCCACCACTCCACAGCTGCCACCCTAATGGGAGATGTGGTCAACATAAGCAAGGTCTGTAGTATTGCCCAGATAATTATGTACCAAGGCCATCTCCTGCTAACCATCCTGTCACATCTCGTGCTCTGAATATGAGACTCAAAAACTGCCTCCCTGTTGATTGCTGACATGCAGCCAGAGCTGCTTCTCATACTGATGTGCTATGCAGCATTGCAGGCTTGCTTCTGTTGTGTGACCCAAGCCATCAGATGCATCTGGTCAGTACATCATTATGAAATAAGTTCTTATTGGTATATGGTAAACAATCTCACTGCCAGGACGCCTTTGTTCTTGCATCTACTCACCCTAACATGGTATCCACCCAAGGCAACTATCTGTGGAACAGCTTCTTGCACAATGAACTTTCCCTTTTGCCTTCCTTAAAAATCGCCTCTGGCCCTTCATACACCAGCATCATTAATCACTTTCTGTAGCTTTTCTGTATCATATGAGTTTATACTGCACTCTCTCTGCCAGTAAATCCTTTGAAACAGAAGTGGGTTACAAGTCTGGCACAGATCTGAAATGGTTCATCTTCTGCTCTACACAAATAATGCAGAATCCTGAACGTGCGCTTTCAATTAGGTCAGCACATGGCCACAAAAATGGCTATCCATTAGACAACACAGACCACCATTGTCTTACCTGTACAACACTATTTTCAGTATCTTTTACAGAATCACAGAATCATTAAGGTTGGAAAAGACCTTTAAGATCATTAAGTCCAACCATCAACCCAACACCACCATGCCCAGTAAACCATGTCCTGAAGTGCCACATCCACATGTTTTTTGAACACTTCCAGTGATGGTGACTCCACCGCCTCCCTGGGCAGCCTGTTCCAATCTTTGACCACCCTCTCAGGAAAGAAATTTTTCCTAATATCTAGTCTAAACCTCCCCTGGTGCAACTTGAGGCCATTTCCTCTCATCCTATCACTAGTCACTTGGGAGAAGAGACCAACACCCAGCTCACCACAACCCCCTTTCGGGTAGTTGTAGAGAGAGCGATAAGGTCTCCCCTCAGCCTCCTCTTCTCCAGACTGAACAACCCCAGTTCCCTCAGCTGCCCCTCGTAAGACTTGTGCTCCAGACCCCTCACCAGCTTCATTGCCCTTCTCTGGACACGCTCCAGCACCTCAGCGTCCTTCTTGTAGTGAGCGGCCATCTACATTAGTTCTGCGTAAACGTGCAGCACAAGATCACTTACCAGATAACACACTGACCTGCAGAAAGCTTAGCACAAGTTCTTTGCCCCTTTTTAGGACATCTAAAAATAAATATTTCTTATACATATGCTGTTTTATGCAAAAATCTCACATTGACTCTGGATTTCAGTTTGCCTTGGTGTCAGAATAATTAATAAACAAATCCCTATTGCATAGACTTGTTGTACTCCAAGGAAAGTATCAAGTAGTCACATACCTAGCAGCAAGTTATTGAAATGATCCTAATATGGAATAAATTAGGATTCACTCCCACAATTCTATTTATACTTATTTACCTACATGTAAAAAGGAATTCATACATGGATTTTCTTCCCAAGGCCATCTGTTTGTTATGAAGAACTTTTGAATAGTTATTTTAAATGTCCTTCTAAGGATACTCATATACGTCTGATAGGGGAGGCAAATAAATTTACCTCTTTTATCTTCATAAACATAAAAACTCACAGAGAATACATATTATTACTTCTATATTAAGAAGCAATATGTTGAATTAATTCCTGGTCTTTACTGCACTGAACATTTATATTCCTTTTACTGTATATTTATGATAAAAATGGAGTACTATCATGCAGGATGCTTACAATGCAATTAAATAAGTTCTGCACAGCAAATCAACTACATCTGATGAAATAAAGTTAACTTTTGGAGCTGTCATTGGAATACGGTTTTAAGAATTATGGTTATTTTCATGGAATGTTAGTGTCACTTTTTTCCAAGTCAGTCTGGGCCTCAAAATAATTAAAGGGGCATGTATAAAATAACCAAGCAGCCAGAACCCTACCTGCCAGCTAAAACTAGGAACTTTAAGTAAGGCCGATCAATGTGAAAGTGACTGGTTTTAGGATCTAAGTTTTGTCAATACAGAAAATAAATTAAAACTAAGTAACTAAAAGATCAATATATAAAAAAGTTACTATATGTTCCATATACTAAGATACCATATGACAACTATATATAACCAATATATACCGTTTAAAAGAGATTTAGTGGAAGCCACCTATGTGCCTCTTTCTGAGATCTCTGGGTTTGAGTTTTATGAAAGTGAGCTCTTTAGATGAACTCCACGGGTTTGCATGTGCGCACTCGAAACCCCTTATGACTGAACATGCAGATTCGTTTGTTCATTTCCTATTTTAAATTGGGATGAACTGTACCTCTCATCATCCAGCCTCATCCTAACAGCAATGCAGAACAGGACATACACAGGAGGTAACACAGGAAAAAACAAATGGCATGAATTTTGGCATATGTCTGCGCGGTGCCACTGCTTTAGACAAATGACATCTGAGCATCCTACAGTGTCTGGAGATGGTTTCTACAAGACATTTCTGAAGGCACTCAGCTGCAGCTGCCTGCTGTGTTCAACATGGAACATCTGGAGATCTTCATATCTTCAGCTACTGATGACATTTAAAGTGCAGTGAAGCGTTGTTAGGTCCATCCTCACCTGTACATTCCTTCATTAATTGACACAATTCTTTGTTTTCCTTCTGTCACTTTGTCTGATGCTTTTTGTAACATTAATGGTGGCTTCTTTTGTGGATATTTTCTGTGTGTCCCATTTACTCTGTGAAAGTTTTAAAAAGAACAGTGAGTTCCACACCGACAGCACAAAGAGTCATTGACAATTACCTCCTAATTTATGAAAACAGTTCTACTTAACAAACAGAAAGACTCCAGCGTTCTTCATGCAGTACTGTGATGTGGAGCAACTTTCTCATTCAGCGTGGATGCAAGCTTTTATAACTGCTATAAAGGCTATGGACATCTTTGGATCAACCCCCTCGGCTTTAATCGTCTCTTCTGCACATGTGTGTTCTAAAAGCGGAGCAAATAAATCCGGTTTCAGTCCAGAAGTGGAAATTAGAGGTTCCTTTTGATGTCACTGGGAGTTGAGCATGACTAGCCTGAGACAGAATTTTCTCTACTTTATTTTATGTTTCTTAAGCAAATATATAGTTTCAAAATAACACTTAGTTCTGCCTGCATGTAAGACCCAAGTACAATATATACCTGTCAGAGCTTCATCAGCTTATTTCCAAATATTCAAAAAAGTCAGTCTGTCTGAGGCATGCAAGTGCATCCCTAATTTAAATTTATCCTTCTCCATCACCTAGTCTGTCTGCTTGTTGCCATAAGCAACACGCTATACTGTGCAGTAAATTGGGTAGGTCTAGCAAAGGACATTCAGAACCAGGCTGACAGAGACACAGAGATGAGTTAGGTGGGTTTGATTATTGCATTTCCAGTGTTTCATGAGACAATTTGTAAGTGTAAAGAATGCCAGGTAAATTAGGCATCATTACAGGGTAATAATGCCAGGTGGAATAATGCCTGGTAAACTTCCACTGACGTGAGTCGAAGGTACATAGTTATCTGAGAGCAAAATCTGGTGTTTATTTGCTGCTCTAGATTACTTCACATCTTTGCAGCCTGAATACACCTGCTCTTTTCCTGTCTGCTCCCCTTATGCTCCTGTTCACACAAGGACTCTCCAAAGACTACACATATCAGTTATTGTCAGTCTGTGACATAATCTGGATACCACCTTTGCTTCTGGGGTGCCTGACCATTCTGTTACCTTCACTGGTATTAGGACTCCTTTCATCAGAAACATCTTTTATTTCCAAGTTGTTTTGACATTACCCTCAAGAGAGGAAACTAAAATTTCCCAGAAACAGCCCATGTCAAACCCTTTGCCTTTCGACACCGCAAATTGTACCATCACATAACTGATGGTAGGGGTAAGGCAGTAGAATGCTTTAGAGTTTGATGCCTGAGAAAATAAGAAACAGAGCAGTAAAGCAATTTACCCTCTACCACCTCACAGGCTGATGCCGGAACCCAAGTCTCCTGAGAGCACCGTGTGCTGCATCACATTGTGTTCTGCAGCATGCAGAGATAAAAGAAAAACTGTAGTCAATGTGAATATTCAGGTGAATAAAATGGGCACATTTTGAGCTGGGGGGATAGTCACATTCTCAACTCTAGGCACCTAAACTTTAGGTGTCCCAGTTGGAAACCTGCTCATCTTACGCTTCCCTGAACAGTCAGCGGAGAAACAGAGATTCAGAATGGCAAACCAGAGCTGGAGCCTAACTTAGATACTACACTTTCACGGTAGGAAAACAGTTTTGGTTTTTTTTTTTAACCATAAGAACTTTAGACAAATCACCTTCCTTTCTTAGACACCCGCATTAGATGAGTAGAATAATGTAAATGCCCTACTTATGATCAGAAATTTTCTTTCCACTGGGTTTCAACAGTACAGATATGTTTTACTGAATGTATCTTAGCTAGAAAAAGGCAGGAGGATACATTCAAATCCATGGGGCCTCAGGTCAGGAACCTACACTTCACTGAGTAGCCCCATTACAGTCAATACTCACACTGTTAATATGTTGTGGGAATTTGCCCATACTTCCTATTAAGTCTAAATACAGAGGTCATTTTTCAATAGCTTACAAAATTAGACAAATAATTTTCTCCAACAATGTGTCAGGTATACACTATAATTCTCAAGTGTGGCCAAGTCTTCTTCCAAATTGGATTAATAACTATGTTAGTTCTGTTCAACCATATCCAACCCGACCAATTCATTTTTCTCTATGGGCTAGTGGCTACGACAGGCATTTATGTTTTTCATTTAGAGCAAACCCATGGCTCTAGATGTCACACTGCTGTAGAATCTGTTCCTATCTCATGGAAAAATACAGCAGGATCCATGTCACCAGGGAATATTTCTGTGCTACGGCAGTACAGAAGATAATACAGTGAAGGTATAAAATAAACACCCATGTACCAATGTGTTGCTTGTAAGCAAATGCAAGGTGAAGTTCAATTCAAATTCCCTTTTTCATTTGCTCAGTCCTCCTCGGTTTAAATTTCCCTCACTCAAGGATGTGATTGCCAAGAGGGGACAGCTTCTTATGGGGTGGGTGTAGCAATTCCACCCCATGCCGTGCTGAGAGGTCTTCCTCTCAGAAACCGAGAGGGCAGTAAACCAACCATAGTTTTTGGATTACTTTAATCCGCAGCAGCTCAGCAGCTGCTGCACAAACAGGGCAGCAGATGCAAACATGTGAGAGACAGGCAGGTAGGCAGCTAGGACAGGAGGATTCGGGGCTTTGGTCTAGCCCCAAAGCCTTGGTTGTTCATACATTGTTGTTACTGGATGATCCTTCTACAACGTGTACAACATCTAAGTGAGGGGGAGAAGCGGGGAGGATCTGATCTGAAGCCTACTGTAATTATTGAAAAGACTCACATTGACTTTTTCAGGCTTCACATCCAGCCTTGAATGAACCAGTGTTCGTGCAGTGCACATAATTTAGGCATAACAGCAATTAATGGAAAAAACATTCCCTTTCAGATAATTAATCTAAACAGTTTGCACAATACATGCCCCAGCTGGGCTGAGCTGGAAAAAAATAAGTGTGGGGGGTTTTTTGCTGTAACAAGTGTGTGTGTTATTCTGATTCCCGAATAAAACATCAATTTTGTGGCCATTCAGGCATGAGGCGTTGTCAGAGGTGCTAGGCTCAGTCATGCCATAGCTGTGGTGCAGCCATTTTCTCTTATCCCAAGGTATTAAATACACTTTGACTGCAGTGAGGAAGATTGTCACAAAAATAAATTCGACCTGGTTGAAGCTAGTGCTGAGCATCAGGGAACATAATTATACTCTTACCTCTGCTGTCCTGGAGCCGTTCTGTCTCTGCGCCGTAGCTCCCGTGCCATAGACCATGGGGTTCGCACACTGAGGACCACAATTGTTCCTCTCCTCGGCGTTTGGTGTTCCAGTTGTGGCTGATGCTGTAGCTACACCTGCCTGAGCTGATTTCCCATTCTCCAGAAGACCTAGCAGGGACACATGAAATCATGCAATTAATGCTAAGGAGCAGTTTATAACCGGCTCTGGCTTCCCTCTCTTTCACCACGTTTTTGTGATAGCACAAGTCATGGAAGGGGTGGTACGGTACTACACTGAGAGCAGTCTACCTCCTTTTGCCACCTTTACCCTCACGAATTCCATTATTGGGCCTTTCTCCCATAGTCCACTGCCCTGTGGAACACTGGCTTGGAAAACATGGAAAACCGCTCAATGAGTGCAGTATTAACAGTAGCCTTGTGGTCACCTGCGCATCTCCATTGGCTTCTCCACACACACAGCTGCTTGCATGAACAAGGGATTAAATAAGGACCCAGAGAGGCTCCCCTTAAATCTGTTTCAGTTCCGGGAAATGAAGGGATTAGATGTGAGCATGACAGATGAGACCGACATGGATGGACAGATTACTCTATTCATGGCCTTGAACATGTGTTTTGGTCAGAAGTGGAGGAAAGAAATCCAGGAAAAATATATGTCATACTGTTTTGACTATCAGTAATCAAATAAATGATTATGTTTCCTTCTGGACTAGCTGTGTGGGTAAGGCATGTGTTATACAATATGATATTGGCCAGCCTAAAAGAATTTTCTCATCTTATTGCATTAACAAAAAACAGTTGTGATTTATGGTGAGTGCAGAGGACTAAACGTCTGGTTGCAACACTGGGTCTGAAACCCAAATACAAAGAGCAAGTGGGATGCATGACTGTAGCTCTGAATTTTATTTTTGGCAAAGCTCATTTATTGTTACAGCTTTATGTTCAAATAGACAAAAAAAAAAAAGCAGATTTACTAACTGGCAATGCCGATATCAAAGCTGGAAGAAGCAGCAAGGAGTCACCGATACGAAGTGAAAAATAAGTATGAGGAAAACCAATGACAATGCATTGCTACTTGAAGTGTGTGTTGTGTCATCAGACCTTCTCACATGAATCAGGTGGGAATTCAAGCACAGTATTAAGGGCATTAAAAAGGAAGCAAAGTCCTGAATTTTTTCTCAGAAGAATTTTCTTTCTCTACAAGCTGCTTTATCAGTAGAAAGCAACATCAGTAGCAGCTAGCAAAGGCAATGACTGAAATCAATAAATCTTCAACCAAATCTTCAATGTCTTGATATTGAAAATATCTGAAGTTGTGCAAGATTTAAGAAGTCTAAATATAAACTAGTTACTGCATTTCCCTGAGCAGTCAGAAGATGGTGTTGGAGATTTTCTAAAGCCGGTTTAACTTGCAGTGATGGTAACTAATAATGTGAGGTCATCTACTTATTGATAGAAAAAGTTTTTAGCTGAAACCTGGAAATATTACATTAGAGTTTATATTTTTAAAAAAAGTTCAGTTTTTAGAAGTTGCCTTTTCTGCTAGATATAAAAACTAATGCCGTTCTCCCATCTAAACTGATGGGCAACTTCCCATAAGACAAGAGTAAACCTCACCTCTCCTGCATCTCCCAAAAGTCCACACCTACTTGTCTCTTAGGTCTCCACAGTGCCAGACGAGAGGCAGAAAAGTGACTTGGTGCAGAACAGTAAGTGGCATAGACTGATATCATAGACAAAATCAGTTGTCAGGGAGAGAGACGGGGAGGCAATTAAACTACGGGTGAGTCAGAGCTCTAAGCCAGGAGCCACGCCGTATTCTACTGCTTGGCCTTGCAGTGGAGCTGTGAGAACAAGCTTGAGCACAGCTCTGAACAGGCAAAATGCTCTAGGCATTGTATACTAATTCCATTAATTGAATCTTGGATGTTTCAGACATATATGAATTATGAGCTTTTCCTTCTGTGGAGTCATCCTACTAAAACTACTTTCCACCATGTGTCCCTTTGGCCATCTGGCCTCTACCTAAATTGTCTGGTGAAACAGCTGTCAGCTGAAGAGCCATTTCGTTATTAAGCACAGTCGTTCATTTATCAGATTGTGTTGCATCTTTTGGTCTCACACAGAATGATTTTTCTTACATCAATCCACTTCTAGAGGCTGATGGAAAATCTCTATCCTCAAAATGGTGTATCTATCTGGTTCATTTTTTGTCCTCTGTTAGTTTGCAGCCTGAGCATCCTTGTTGCACGCTGCATTGCAGGGATGAGACTTTTTTTGCAATACCTGTCAGAAATGAACGAGGTATCGGAATCTGTGCCTTCTACTATCAGTCTACTATATTTTTATACGGGTGACCTGGTGGCCACCAATATAAGTGCAAAAAGCAGCGCAAAAAGCTTTCTTATTTTATTCTGAAATATGTTTGCTACTCTGCAGAAACTATTTTAGAATTCTTTTGCATTGGAAAATAGATGATTTAGAGAGTGGGAAACAGTTTAAAGCTATTTAGGGTTTGCCACAGTACACAAAAATGGAAGAATTAACTTTCTTCTTCTGTACAATCTGGAATTTGCAAGCTAGCAGGGTAACAATACTCAGGGTCTCAGTGTCATTTAAGCCGAGGTATCTGTCAAGATATTTATGTTATCCTCACCGCATGGGTTGGGTAAATAACCTCCTTGGTCGAAAGACAGTGAAAACCATAGAGCTTCAGTAGAAATTTAAACAAACGGGTTCAGCAATGTTGTTTTCATTCTCATGTTCTCTGCCAGGACAGCCCCTGCCAAAAGTCTGTGGGCCTCCTGAGGGCAGGGAAAACAACAGATCCCATCACAATGCTCTGTCAAATACACCTATTTTATTTTCAAATGAACTGGCAAGCCTAGAATATTCTTATGGCTCCATTCCCAAAACTCGAGTTTCTGGGTGATTATCGAGGCCCCACCAACGTGATGGTGACCTTCCCCTCCGGAATGGTTCGTCAGGGTTTGGGGGACCGCCAGGCTGCTCCCGTTGTGGGCAGGAACGGATAACAAGAGGCAGGTATTTCATTGCATGTAACCAGGCTTATTTATAAAGAACATACACGAGTCCCCTCTCGTGACGCAGGGAGAGTACCCAAGCAGCAGCCCTATTGCTCACAAATCCAAGTCTATTTTTCCAGCATGAAATGTGCTTAAAAGAATTCACTCTCCCACGGCAACGCTTGCTGTCATCTTCCTTTTCACCGGCTTGCTAGGCTGCACAGGCGAGCTAACTCTTGCCTTTCTTACCAGGCCAATAGAACTCCTTCAAGCTGCAGTTTGACAAACACTTTTTTCAGCAGCACCAGGGAAAAAAAGGGTTATTTTGAACTGAAATCAATCCCTAGACTTTATTCATCACCCAGTGACGCAAGCAGTCAGACCGGCACGACTTGGGAGGTAGCACGGGGTTCGGAACAAGCAGCAGAAAGCAGCTCAGGTTGGTGCACTATCCGATCAAACCGAACCGAACCCAGCCCCACTCATCCAGCTGCGCTCGTTCTTCCCATGGAGCTGCCCTGCCGTGCTATCGAGACCCCGCGGCGGTGGATTCACCTTGCTTCCAACCACCCCTGCGCCAGCGGACGTACGTTTGTCTTGTCCATTTAGCCTGGGTTCACCAAAGATCCCCGTTGTGTTACAGCAAAAACGGCGTCCCGGAGTGGCTGATCCAGAGTAAGATGTGATATGGCTGATGGGTACAAAGGAGCTTTTTTTCTAAAATCTCTTTCACTGAAAAAGTCTGGTGATTTGCACCAAATTATGTCAGGTCAAATAATGTTTTGTTTTGTGTATTTTCACACGCACAATTTGAATAGATTTTGAAAAACCAAATTTGCCCAAGAGTGAGTTTCCCCCCTCCCCGCAAAAAAATGATGGCATTAAAGTGCTGCCTTTTGTTCAAATTTCTCAAAATATGAAAGTTTGGGAAAATTTGGATATGGACAAAAATCAACTCCAGTTATGGAATTTTACAAATCAAAACTAAAACCTGATCCCTAGGACATCTGGGTATGTTTCAGCTATTCCACAATTTAAAAGAAGGGCATTTAAGGACAGTTTTACAAGTATAACAATATGTAATGAACGGAAAGCTACCTAAAATCAGAGGGATCTCAATATAAGTATGAAGACCAGAAAGATGGGACAAATCTGCCTGAAATATGTATCCTATGTTGAGAACAACAGGCATATTAAAGGTAATATAAACTCCTAGAAGAGGGCAAAGAGAATAGAACATGAAAATTGTCAGTACTAACACAAAAAAAAGGGCTCTGGTATTTTTATGTCACTCATAGAAACAGTATAAATAAATTTAAGTCTCCAAAACCTGCTGCTACTCGTAATTAATAGTTTATCCTAACATTGAATATTCAGACTACCAGTAAAACACCAAGTTTTTCCACTCTTTCTGGGATAACTTCTTACTCTCTCTGCTGTAAATGTAATGAAAAATTCAGTGTGTCCAAGCAAACATCAAAATTAGTTTTTAGGAGATTCCAAACACATCAACGCTTCTGTTACCTTAATTCTCTAAAGTTCTCTAAAATTAACCATAGCTATTATCATCATGATTCTTTGTATTTCAGACTATTAAATCGTGTATTAATCCCAGGTAGGACACAACCATTTTGTAAAGAACATAAGTTTTCTTCATAACAGAATTGTAGGCAGTAAACAGTTCTCTTCTGTTCAAAGGCATCTTTCGGTTCCTGAAATGCTACTTGGAAATCTGATGCAAATTCACCAATGCATTCAGAGAAATCTGTCCGCGATGCCCTTTTTTTTCTGCTGGCTGTAACATATGCCGTAACTTCTCTCTCTCAACATCTCCCTCCCTGCCTCACTTACCGTCCTGGCAGGCTGCACCTCACTTCTCTTAAGAGCAAGAGTCACCAAATCCCATCTCCCACCGTCTTCTACGAGACCTCTTAGTACCTGCTAGCATGTGTTCTTGTGTCTACCATCCTAATAATTTTTAAATTTTGAATGAGTTTTCAGAAATTCCCGGACAGCGGCATCCCTCAGATATTTTGTAATTTAGATGATACATACTTACAACTAGAGTCTGGAAAGTTGCTCGCAGATTTGCAAGCTTATGTCCATTCACAATAAAGCATGCTGACATCATATTTTATGTCTTAAAAAGAAAACATTTAAATGGGGAAGAATCAGGCTAAGAAAGCTTTTAAAAGAATCATTTGAGTAAATAGGATGTTCATCACAGAGACGTAAAAAAAAATGTAAAACATGGAATGGAAATTTTAGACATTAGACCTGTATTTCTGATTTTGTCTATTATACTGACAACACTAGTG